ATCGTTATGAGTCTCTACCGATTGAATAGAATTTTATTATAAACAATTGTCTTGTAAATGGAATTTTTAAAGCATTCTGAATGTAAAAATAAAGAAAAAAGTGTGCAAGACAATAAGAAACACTACATGCCAAAAAAAAAATGAAGTTTTGTTGAAATCAGTTGAAAAATGTAGGTAGCCTTTCTGTAATCTTTTAGTTTTACAATTTATGATTTTTACTTATTGAATACAGTAAAAAAATTGCATATTTTGCTTGTGGTGATTCATAATTAGAATTCTGATTTGAATATATTTTCCACTCGTTGTTTCTAATACAAAAAATATTAACTTTATTTGGGTTTATTAATTATGATCTAACAAATCTTATTCATTTAGTAGCCTTCTCTGTAATATATAATAATCTTTTTACAATTTATGATTTTTACTTATTGAATACAGTAAAAAATTGGACACCATGTGTATTTTTAAAGTAGTTTCCCATTCCGGTTATTATTTTTAGTTAGGACTTGTGTATGTTTAGATTTCATTATCTTTCCCTAAAGATAAAGAATTTATTCCGATGTTTGTATTCATACAATCAGTAGAGATCGTTAGATTATTGTTTAAGGTTGACGGACACACATGTCTTAATTAGTTTTTTTTTTTTTATTTTTTTTTTTAATTGGTCAAACCCAAACTCAAACAAAAACATTGTTTTCAATCGTTATGAGTCTCCCAATTGAATAGAATTTTATTATAAATAATTGTCTTGTAAATGGAATTTTTAAAGCATTCTGAATGTTAAAAATAAAGAAAAAAGTGTGCAAGAGAATAAGAAACACTACCTGCCAAAAAAAAAAAAAAAAAAAAAGTGAAGTTTTGTTTTATCGGCTGAAAAATATAGGAAATCCGCTCCCATATTTAAAGGAACCCACGCACACAAACAACCCGATGTGAGTTGTCCCCCTTCCATTTTCACGATGTCTCTTAATCGTGTTTTTAAATTGATTTTGTGCAAAAACAATTATATTTTTCCCATTTTTGGCGCTGTTAGAACCACCACAAGGTAATTTTATGTAGTCCTGTGAAGTTTTGTTGAAATCGGTTGAAAAATGTAGGAAATCCGATCCAATATATAAACGTTACAGACACACACACACAATCTGCGTTTTATAATAAGTAAGATATACAATTTTAAACATATCTTCAACTAAAATTATTAATTTGGTTAGTTTGAAATTTTTGAATGAATACCAACAGGCCTTCTCAAAACATGGGTCATATGACCAACCTATCCATTGCTGCCACAATGAATATATCAGAAATCAGAATGCAATTTAATGATTTATTAACATTTTATAGCATAACCCCCCCAACATTTCTCACAAAATTTTTGAACATATTTATGATAATCGTAAAAAATGAGCTGCCATATTCCATATTTTACTTGATAATCTAATTTACATAAAATGATCATTGGTTGACTTAAAAATCATTAAAGAATTTACTCACAGCAATATGTTTGGTGACCTCCCAACATTTAGTTTGGTCCGACAAGTCGCAGGCTGTCATCAGCAGACATAGTAACCACTTATGATGTTTAACACTCTTTTTATCATAGCCCTCTGCAAAGAAAAAATTATATTGTTAGATGACAAAAACAAAAATTTAAAGCATAAAATTGCTATCAACTAAAAATAAGACAAAATAGAAACAATTATTTAGTAAAGAAAGATTAAATTATAATGAAATCATTTGTATCATCTTCTAAGAATCTCTTTGGTGCAACTATTTTGAATGATTAAATCTAACCTAAATCTGCTTTACCCGATATATATTTAATGAAAACAATAGTTTTATAGGATTTTATTTAATACTGGATTATGTATTTTTTGCTTCTCCTGAAGTAAAGGAGAAAGCAAAACTTTTTATCATATATGTGTATATGTGCAGTGAGAAATTAGTCAAGGTTTTAAGGTCAATCAGGTTATCTTATAAAAAAGATATTTTTGAGATTCTATTTCTTTTATTGATGGTAAATGGTATAACCTATAACCTTTTGGATTAGGGGTTAAGGTCATAGGAGTGTGAAATGGTTGGCATTTGACTTGAATTTCTATTGGCCGACATCTACAGGAAAGTAGGATCTTTGATAGTCATTGATATATTCCAATGCAAGAAAGTAAACTTATTTTAGCATGATTCATAAAGAACATAATTTATATATATATATATATATATATATATACACACACATAGAGAGGAAGAGAGCTAATCCACTTATGCTTCTGATAGAGTGTGAATATACAGTCTATTTAAAATTATTATGCAAATCACATAAGTATCAATAGCTTGAATTTGTTTTGAACAATTTTTGTCAAATTTTAAATGATTAATTTAGACATTAAAACAAAGCTTCAGTTAAATTTTTAGGCAGTTTCAACAGGTTTGTACTTTTACCAGCAAAGATAAACTTTGAAATGCTCTGCAGTTTGTTTCCTATGAAGAAATATAACAGCTCACAAAATGAACAGATAAACTGACTTCTAAATCTAGTTGGAGAACATAGAGGACCCATTTTGCATTAATGTTGCCTTTAGAACTTTTTCACCATTACATTACTGCTTTTTAATTCTTTGTATTTGTTATTGCAGACTTTACACACATTCTGTAATTATAAGTTTTAATTTATTTTGGAGTTTCAGTAACTTTGCTAATAACATGAAACTTGGAAAATTCAGTAAATTTTATAAAACAGTTACCACATCATAAAAGCGCCATGTGCTCTACTATAATTTATAAATATTATCTGAAATATCCAGCACATTAATAATGCAAATATTTCCATGATCCCTTTTATTAGTCTGCAAAAACAATTAGGAAAAAATTAAAAATGTCTAATATGTGACAGTATATGTGTGCATTTTATTATTTACACATAAATGTACTTATACACACAAGAAGTATGATATATAATGAAAAAAAATATGTATACATGTATACATTGACATGCAAACCATTTGAAATATCTATTATTGAAACTTTCAATTCTAAGCCTTAATTTAGATTAACATTAAGACATTCCCAATATATTAATTAATAATAGTATTTATTATGATTTTCTTATATAAAACATTGTCAATCATTATTAATTTTTCTTTCATCCGAATTTCAATTGCTTTTTATCACAACTCTTGGACAGTTATGCCGTAGTCATCAGTAAGCAACATCAGTTGGAAATAAAAAATAAGTCTATAGTAAGACACAAATTCATTCCCCTTTTTCTCAGGAAGCCTGTCTTAATGCAACAGTTGGTTTACTGATTAGGCTATGAAGGTCCCTCAGCTGCACTCATTCAAATCAAACCATATAGCCACTCCTTAATTTCTCTATCTGATACATCATTACATTTTTTTAAAGTTTATACACAATGCTAGTATTAATAGTAATACATACAAAAATTTATTCCATGACAACTTCATAAGAAGGATACCAAATTCTTAAATGTAATGATTCTTATAAGAATTTGATATCCGTTTTATGAAGGTGTCATGGAATAAATTTTTGTATGTATTACTATTAATGCTAGCAGTATTAATAAGGGTTAATGTAGAGTCAATTCCCATGACAAGTTAAAAGAAAACAATCTACAGAATTCTATCAAGATAGTTTAAGATTAAGTACTGTTTAGTACCAATGAAATACACATAAATATATACAATAGTAGATGAAACAAAAAGAAATTTTATTGTAATTTATCATTGTTTCCAAAAAAAAGCAAGTGATACAGCAAAGGATTTGAGAATAAGCTTACCTGTTACCATATTTTCAATATCATTGAGAATTCGCAAATGGTGAGCCAGATCAGTGGCCAGAATTATATCTCGCATCAAATCTAATACTCTGGTATATTCCTTAAAATACAAAAAAATAAAGACATTTTAATGACTGGTTTGTAGTAAGTAAATGATTGCAGATCTATAAATGTAGAAATGAGGCCATAAATTCCAAAACAAGAAACTAATTGTATAAAAAATTTTACAAATATGACTGTAAGATATCAACTAAAACAAATTTTAACAGTTTTTATAAAAACTGAAGAATGTTTAAGAGAATTCATGTCAAAAAGATTTGAATATTACCAAAACACATGGTTAAACTTTTTAAAAGAATAATGGAAAAGTAATAAAATAATAGCCAACATTATAATTATCAGTATGTATAAATGTATAATTATTATAATAATTATATAAATCATTATACATTATTATATGTGTGTGAGTATCATACAACACATAATAGATACAACAACACATAACAGATATAATAATTCAAATTGTTCATTTTAACAACTTTTTTAACAAATATTTCACAATTCAATTTGCAAAATACACTATGTTTATATCATTAGCCACTTTCATTTTTTTTTAAACTAATGAAAGATTCATGGAAATATCTGTATTATTTATGTGCAGAATATAATATCACATAATATTTATAAATTATGGAAGACAACATGTCACTCTTATGATATGGCAAAAGTTTTATGAAACTCAAAGAAAGTTCTGTTGTTATTAAAACTTAATTATGGAATTATGCACAAAGTTCACAATGACAAATGTTTTGAACAAAAAAATTGAAAACAGCATCTTTATAATGATAACTTTATAAAGACAACATTAATATGAAATTTATCCATCATGCTCTGAAACAAGTTTTAGAAGTTGTTCATCTAATTGATTTTGTGATCTGTAACAAACTACGTAGAACAGCATTCTAAAGTTCAACTTTGCTGTTTGTTGTAACCTAGGGAAGGTTACTGAATAGAATAATCACAGGAAGGTTGGTAATGAACGATAATTTTTAGAACAACACATATAAGATTCGCCAGCGGCGCATAGAAGTAGTCAACTGCTAGAAGTGAGTCAAATGAATTCCACAATGAATCTCCAACTGCAGACCAACATACAGTATTTAATACTGTAAATATGTGAATGGGGACATACACATTATCATCTGTAGGTATGTTACAACACTGACATCATTGTTAAAATGCCATCCACCAATATACATCTTTTCCAGAATGCTCCATAAGTTTTCAATTGGATTAAGGTTGTACAAAAAAGATGGTTGCTTCGTCAAACATGTGTCTTTGAACACCATTTTGCTTGGATATTCATTAGTTTTTTTCACTGAACATGATTGAGCATTGTTATAAATAAATATCATCTTTCTGAAAGAAGTTTCTTCTTAAACTATGGATCCATATATAGCTAGAAAATAAAAACAAGCCCACAAGGAGTTTTCAAAATAGTCAACTTTTTGTGTTTATCACATGGTGTTTTTTACTAAAGGTCAAGTCATAATGCAACTCTTGCCCAGAACTGGATGCCTATCTCAAATCTTCTTGTTCCACTGGAAGCAAAGATTTTTTAGTTTTGGTTTGCATTCATCACAATTGCTCTGAAATCATCCTGGATCTTCAACAAAATTTGTCACAGTTCTGTGACATACATTTTTTCATTGTTTTACTTTTTACAAACTCTCCAAATTTATTAAATATTTCTCTTTATTCATCAAATCAGTTTTACAATCCCTTTTAAAGCTTCAAACTTACAGCATGTCTATTAATTTAAGACTTCAAAATTGGAGAATTTCTATACAAATAGCTGCCATTTATGTATGCACAGAATGGTTTTCATCCTAACAGTACAGGTAGATGTTTCCGTCATTAAGCAAATAAACCTTTGATTCCAATAAGTATTTATTTTATATATACTGATAAATCATGAAGTGGCTAATAATTAATCAAGCAATATATATATATATATATATATATATATATTCACAGCTGTGTATATGTGTGAGAGGGAGGGAGAGAGAGAAAGTTTTTATGCCTAATTTCAAAATTGGTGGAAAACTAGAACTTAAAAATTTAATTTTTTACATAACATTATTTTTAACCAATATTGATGCTACAAAACTTTAAAGTGAGTTTAAAAAGTATCCTAAAATCTATATAGTTACTTGATAATATTAATATATCACATGAATGTAAGCTTACCTTGCTAGGAAGATTTTCAAAAATATTGCATCCTTCTGTATTCAGAATGCACATTGATTGAGCAAAATGATGCCTCTATATAAAAAAAATAATTTAAAAAGTGAACATAGTCAAACATAATAACCAAATAAATTTTAAATGAGCAAATGTTTTTTCTTGTTTGTTATTTTTTTTTAATCATTTCACCCCAAACAAGGTGATAAATCCACTAGGTTGCAGGGGGTTACATTGTGAAAGAGAATGAGAAGACTTTTGTGTGGAGAAATGAGGAAAAGTAAACAAATATTAGATAAAGTAAATATTCTTAAATCTAGAGACAATTTTATGTAGTTTTTAGCATTACAGTAGGAACACTTTTGTTAAGCTTTGTGAGTAGACAAGTGTAAATCACTAAGTCTGTAAATTGACTGAATTATTAGCTGAATTTTGAGCTAAATATTCAATGTAGAGGGTGCAATGACAAATTGTCATCTAAATTAAGCAAAAATGAAAATAACACTTAAATCTCATTTTAACAGATATATTTACTAAAATTACACAAAAATATCTTGAAATACTAAAGACTAAATTTATTCAATAAAATGATCATTAGCTTCAACCATGGCCTCCAGATGACTTCAGAATCTCCTACATCAATTCTGGACGGTCTCCTTGTTTAAGTTGATGAATGCTGCCATAATTCTTGCCTTCAGTTCATCTTTGGTGTTACAATCTTTGGTGTTGTTGGTCTCTTGCTCAACTGCACCCCACACATAATAATCAAGGGGGTTGCCATCTGGGGAGTTAGGTGGCCAGATGTAAGGGGTAATGTGGTTGCAGAAACTGTCTGACAGTCATGACTAGGTTCTCCTGCTTGTGTGGCATGGTGATGGAGTCCTGTTGCCAGACATAGGGTCTTCCAGCAGCCACACCCTCTTGACCCAGGACAGCACTATCTCCTCAAGGCACCTGATGTAGGCCTCTGTATTCTTATCAGAATGATCAGAGTAAGTTTTCTTAGCTGCTATATTCATAATCAACATTAGATTCATCCAACTCTTTCTGAATCCTCTGCACTGTCCTTAAACTCTCTGAAATGTTCGTATTGGAGCTTCCGGGATGAATGCCAAGCAGTACAGAATGTTGTTTTCAGATTTCTGGCAGAGTGAATTGTATCATGGTGCTCTTCTTCTCACAGATGGTGCCCAATTGACCCTACTATACTGTGCAGTTGACAAAACCAAAAACAAACAAAATACATGTGTGAAATTAAAAGTATAAAATGGCGGCAATTTACCCATCACACCCTGCATAATGTTTGATCGATAGAGAAATGTTGGGTTAAGTGTATTGACTATGAAGAAGATTATGCTGAGAAATAAATATTGTAAAAATGAATGCTTTTCTGATAATTAGACTATGAACTTATTAACAGATCTATATAGTCTCCCAGAATTTATCTGTTAGATACACATTTTAAGTAACTGTGAAACACTAAACAAATAATTCAATAAAATGGCTTAAAGGTAACTTTTTATTTCTTTGAGTTGCTATAAACATCAATACAATCAAATTATAAGTTTTACAGCATCCACTGATGAAGATTTCTTTATTAGTACTTCATCTAAGATGTTTTTCTAAAATTTTAGAAATATCAATGCAATAAGTCATTTCTAAATATCAAGCTTATATCAAAGGTTTAAATAAACTCTAAAAAATTGTTATCATACATTGACTTGTCTGTCAAAAGTCTATGTAAAAAAAAAAGTTTTTTGCAACTATTATTTGAGGGGAAACATATTCAAAGTCATTCAACAACAATAATAAACCATACTATTTTCATCAAAAGGAAAACTTTATTCTCCTGAACCAAGTCCTCTGCAAGTGTGTAGAAAAAAAGATATACAAAAAAAAAAAAAAAAAGATGTACTAAAGTAGATATTATAAATGTCATGCACAGCAATTGAATTTATTTTCCATTCGAGCAGCAAGATATTCCGCATTTGCCCTAGATATTTCCTTCAGAAATTGTTTTTGAATTCCCCTGAAGATTATTTTCTTAGGCCATATTTATTTTATACATTTAATATTATCACTAAAGTATATGTTTTTATTTTCTTTTTCATTTATTCTGGAATTCAATGTAAAAAAATAACATAATTCAGTCATTTGCAAAATTACTATCGCTCTTCTATGGCTTGTATGAGACATTTCCAGAAAAAAATTAAATTTAGACCCAGAAGTTATTTCTCTTTTAAAAAGTATAAAAAGCCATTTTATTAATAAAGATGGATTTTTTTTTTTACTGAAATATCTGTATGTTTTTTTCCTTAGGTGATTATTGACTGCAAAAACTACTTTTTAATAAAATCATAAATAATTCTTATAGTCATTGTAAAAAAATACAGTTACACTGTAAGAAAAACTCTTTAAGGGTTTTAGAAGAAACCTTATTTGAGAACTTAATCATTAGAAAAGTATTCAGTCATAAAAGCATCTAGCTTGAAATTTTTCGAATATATCTTTCTACTTTCACTAATTGATAACTAAAATATAAATCAGATATTTGAAATTTATATATTTTGTATAGGTTAATGACAATGAAAATAATTCAACAGTACAGTATTCCAAAGTATTTATCAAAAACATCAGATTAAAGAAAGTAAAAGGTCACAGTTTTCCAAACCAATAACAAAAATAAATGATCCATGTTACAAAAGAAGAGATACATAAACTCTTTGATAAGAAAAATGACGGAATAAGTAGCAAGAAAAAAATGATACTAGTCTATAGAAGTTCATGGATCAACATTTTAAACAAACAAAACAAATATGATTAAAATATTACCATACCAGACAACACCTTGTGTGTCTTCTGAAAAAAAAAAATGACCTCTACTTACATTGATGGTTTGGTTTATTTTGTTTTACAGCATATCAACCTCAATGGGTTATTTAATGCCGACAAAATTTTTATTGCTGGTAATATTTTTTTCTTCAAAAATCTATTTCTTGGAATATTTTTCCTTGAAGAAATCTATAGCTGGTAATATTTTTTTCAAAGAATGTATATCTGTATGTATTGCTGTTTTTTGGGGTTTTTTTTTAAAGTATTGCTGATAATAATTTTTCCTTCAAAAATTATTGCTGGTAATAATTTTTTTTATTACAAAGTATTTCTGGTATTAAAACCTATTTTTACACAAGTTTGGGTGTCAACTATTTGCCCATAGCTGGGACCCTAACAGGTGCTACCACCCCGGGTCAGGATGGACCTGGAACACCAACAATGAAGAGATGGTTCCATGCTCCTCAAAACCTGATCAGAGGCCTTGCTGTTGGACGTAGTTTATCGTCTTACACAGGACGCAGATGTAGTTTGTCATCATACCCAGGATGAACTTATATCGCTTGTAATGTAGTAATATTAACAATCATGATTCTCTTTAATAGAAAAAAAAACACTTAAACAAGAACTATTTTCTGAAACAAATCTGGCAATTTCTGTCTGAATTTCTGGGATGAGAAGCTATCATTATTTTTATTCAGACTATTGTCCTCACGTCTGTTGTTATTATAACAACATTTTGCCTATTGTGCCCTCTGACATTCTTTTGGTGTCTGTAGATGCAGGTAAATTCAAAATTCCCTGAAGGTTACCTACATTGAAACATACCTGAAGAAGGCAGGAGGAAACAACAATCAAAACTTTATGATGATAACAACAAAGATGAGGACAATAATCTGAATGTAGGTAATATAAATAATTTAGAAATGTATTTTTACAAGTATTTCTCATATATAGGAGATGAGATATTTCAAAATTGATTGATACTTTTTTATATTTCAAAGCTAACAACTTCCAGTTGTTAATTATCTTGTTATTGACATAAAAAAGGTGAATTAATGAAAAATTAACTTACTTCCATTACTGATCCTTCAGAACTGTAGAGAGCTGCCAAGACGGATTGCTGTAATTAAAAAAGGTCAACTTGATACTTTGAATTCATTTAGTAGTAATTTGTTTTATCATATAACATTACTAAGTGTACAAATATAATAATGGTGTCATTATTTACCTACTAAGCAAACAAGCAACACATTTTTATTTGATCACTTATTTTAACTACCAAAAAAGATCATATAGAAATTAATATAATTAAGGAAAGAATGTTGATTTTAAAGAAAATCTGATAATTTATTATAGATTTTAAGTGAAGAACAAAAAAAAAAATATAATTATTCAGCTGTTCTGTACTTACTGAGGCTACTTGGAAGGAATTGTTAGTTCCTCTATGGTCAATATCATGACATAAGCAGGATACAAATAGGGCAAATATTTCTAAGTCACTGTAAAGAAAATAAGAAAAAATACTTATTTCTTGCAAATAAAATCATTAAACTGACCCAAAAAATACCTTTAATCCCTTCTGTAACTGTCTACAAGCAAAATACATCTGCTTTCAAAGTATTTACAGATCCTTAAATGTTATCAAAGTATTTACCAAATACAAATTATATCAAACTGAACTTATGAACAATAAGTGAACAGCATAATGATGTAAAAGGCATTTATTTTACTCAGCAAATACTTATTATTCGACATAATTTTCTTCTTTGTCAATGTCTTTAATTTAGTGGCAAATATCAATCACATGTGAAAATTTCAATTCAAAATTCAGCTAATTATATATCAGGCTACATATTTATTGATCCACCTTTATAAATAGCCAAGTATTTAAAATTATTCTAATTTTTTCTAGCTATTAATACAAACCTCAAACAAAATTTCTCAAGAAAGAAATAATATTTATAAACTGAATGCATCATAAATATTTATTTATTATTTTAACATAAAAATTTACTCATTATTTAAACATAAATAGAAAAATACCTATTTGTAAAAATAGATTCAAATTTTGAATAAGGTCTCCTAACATTCTTTTGTTTTATTGTTTATAGTTTAATTAAATATGGTGACTCAAACAAAACATGATCAAATTGTCACATTGAAAATGGCTGGCATGAAGATTTGTGAGATGATAAAACAGTTGAATGTTTGCAAAAACTTTTTTTAATATGTGGAAAAAGTTTTAAGAGAAGCAAACAACTTCACTAAATTCAATTTCAGGAAGAAACCATTAAGTTCCTACTAGGAAAGTCATTGAAATTATCAAGGAAAGAAATCTATGAAGAAGCATGAGGAAGATGGCAAAAGAGCTAGATATTTTGGATAGGTTGCTAAAAAGGATTGTGATAGAGAATTTAGGTTTAAACCATACAAGATTCAATGATGAAAACTGCTCTCAAGTGTCCCCAAGAAGAAAACAGAGGAGATGCAGCATGCCACAAAGTTTTTATTTGGTCATACAAGAATTTTTTTTACTGTGAAGGCTGTGGTCAACTACCACAATGATAGGGTTAACACCACTTCACCAGAAAACATTTTAGAACACACTTAAAGTGACAAAAACCAATTGGTATCATTGTTTAGGATATGTTGCTTCTGATGGTTCGAAAATTACCTTGGTGTTCATTAAAGAGTGAAAGTGAATAATAGAGTTGACCAGCACTCAAAGTAGTGCTCCCACACACATGGCCAATTTGATGCAGAAAAGAGACATTCTCATTGATTTTTTTACCAAGTCAATTTGGCCTCTGTCAATCCTATGCACTTTGCAATATGACACATTTTGGAGAGCAATGTTTCACATATTTCATATTCAAGTGTGTTAGAGCTGAAAGAAACTCTTATGATATGGTATAAGTTTGAGAAAAGAGGTGGTGAAGTCATCATGCACTTCAGTTGAAAAAAGATTAAGGGCTATAGTGAAAGCAAAAGATGGCCATTTTGAATTGTAAATATATGTAAAATATTTGTCTATATTTCTGAGATGAGGTATTATGTACATTATTTACATTATTTGGACTATTGTCCTCATCTTTTTTGCCATATTTATTACAATGTTTCGGTCGTTGTATGCTCCAACCTTTTCAGGTGGTTGGAATGTCGAATTTAACCCTTTATTTCACTCACTGGGGTAGACTGTTCTAGTTCCATGTGCCATATTTAATGGATGTCAGTTATCAGTTATCTCCTGTTAATTTCCCTCTGAAAGTTCTCCACTGCCTTAACCGGATATTGAACTCACAACTCTTTGGGTCCTTGTCACTGGATCTAACCAATGCCTTTATCCACTGTGCCATATGTCCTTGAGGATAAATATAATTATTCACTGTACAGTAGATAAAGGTGTTGGTTAGATCCAGTGACAAGGACCCAAAGAGTGTGAGTTCAATATCCGGTTAAGGCAGTGGAGAACTTTCAGAGAGAAATTAACAGGAGATAACTGACATCCATTAAACATGGCACATGGAACTAGAACAGTCTACCCCAGTGAGTGAAATAAAGGGTTAAATTCAACATTCCAACCACCTGAAAAGGTTGCAGCATACAACGACCGAAACATTGTAATAAATATGGCGAAAAAGATGAGGACAATAGTCCAAATAATGTACACATAAAATATTGTCAATAAATATAACAATCAACCTGTACAAGGACATATGGCACAGTGGATAAAGGCATTGGTTAGATCCAGTGACAAGGACCCAAAGAGTTGTGAGTTCAATATCCGGTTAAGGCAGTGGAGAACTTTCAGAGGGAAATTAACAGGAGATAACTGATAACTGACATCCATTAAACATGGCACATGGAACTAGAACAGTCTACCCCATTGAGCAAAATAAAGGGTTAAGTTCGACATTCCAACCACCTGAAGAAGGCTGGAGCATACAACGGCCGAAACATTGTAATAAATATGGCGAAAAAGATGAGGACAATAGTCCAAATAATGTAAATAATGTACACATAAAATATTGTCAATAAATATAACAATCAACCTGTGAACTTTAATTAACCAAAACCTAAAACTTTTTTTATTTTATGATAAAATGAATAAATGAGTAAATGAGAAGTCATTGTTCAAATATTTCAAAATTGTTCTCATTTTGCATTTATTGCCTGTTTCTTATTAATTTATAGACTAATTATAAAAATAATATTTTAAACATCCTTTACCAAAATATATTATTTTGTGACGTTATAATTTCATTTAAAAGTAACTAACTGCCTATCTAATAATGAAGAACATATATTCTTGAGAAGCTTGGTACATTTTTTAAAATTCTACATAAACATAATAATTAAATATCTATCAGTTTTTTTTGTTTTTTTTTTACATATTTGATATTATAAAACAAATACTGTCAGATAAATAATGAGTCTAAAATTACATCAAACAGGTGAACAGAGTAACAGAGAATTTAGCAATAAACTTATATTTGTTTGCAAAAGCAAACAGATGTAATTAACAGGGCTAAAAAAAGGGACAAACTTCCTGTAGAATAAAGTAACATTTTCTAAATGTCATCTATAAAACTAATAAGAAAGAACAGAATGTTTAAAATATTTTAATGATTCTGTGCTTTCCAGTTTTATAGTTAACATTTAAAAAAATGTTACTTTATTCATTTAAATTAATATCTTATATATAACTAAATCTCAGTACCTAACCATGAAGTAGTAGCTTAGCAGATCATTACTACTGCATATTGAGTTTGGTCCTCTTTGGCCAGAGAACTCTTTGTACCAAAAGACTGAGCTAAACTTTGAAGAAAAAATATATCTACAATTTATATCTACAATATATGATAAATCACTATTCAAGTATTTCAATAACTGAGTATGATTATGATGTAATGGTATAACCTGTCACCCCCATGAGTGACTACACTATAGGTAGCAACTACCTATAAATAACTGTAAGTCAACAGACTACAGAGTCTAGCTGGGATCTGTTGAGTATGACTCGGACTTACATGAGAACTACCGACCATCCAATGGTAGCACACACTACTGGACCGACTTGCAACAACTTTGTACATAACTGTGACCTTATTTCTTATTGTACTGGTTTTACAATAAACCTTTACTTATTTTATCATCCACCATGTTTTTCAAGTACATATTCCTATTAGCACAAAATATAACAGATTATTAAAATTATGTAAAAATATTTTTGTCTGGGACAACATTGTCTCTGTTGTATCCAATCAATATGTGTAAAGTTGTATTCAGAATAATTAAAAATGCACAATTATTTTTGCCATAGCAAATAAATGTTTAAACATTTTACATATGCTGCACTTTTAAAATACAAAAATTAATGAAGGTACCTTCTGAGAAATCTTAAATACTAATAGTAGTTCTACAAAAAATATGATTTACAATAAGTATTAAATATTTTACGCATGGAAAATCACATTAGATGATATTTTGTGCATAAATAAATATTCTTCAAACATTAAGGAAAAGGAGAACAGGCAATAAAAGTTACTAAATACTTTTATGGTATTAAGAAATACTTTTCATATTTATTGGTGATTGATAGAATACCATGAATTTCTAAAGCTTATTGAGATAGATGTGTTGGGCACAATTTTTCACATGAGATCCTGTATATCAATAAGAAAGCTTCATTAAATTTCATAATTAAGTTTAACATTTTTTTTTTATAATTTTCTTGTAAGGATAGAGAAAATGCAAGCAAATATATATACACAATCTTGTTAAATATGATCCAGTTTATTAAAGAGAAAATATAAGAAGAAAGTAAACTGGAAAATAAAACAAGAAAAAGAAAACTAAAATAAAAAAAGGGAAGAAGAGATAAGAAAGGATAAAAAAATAAAGGAAACAGAAAAGCACAGAGGAAGATAAGAAAAGAAAAAAAGGATAAAAATATAGAGAGATTATGGTAAAGAAATGAAGATAAAGAGATAAAGAATATTTACTCTAAGTATTCATGAAGTCGTGCATTCTTTGCCATGACATAGGCAAAGTGAGCCACTGAGAAAGCATGAATCCAGTTGTGGTAGGGTGGATTACGATAACCTTTCTTCACCATTAATATAAACCTGCAAATAAAAAAGAAATGTTTAATATCCATATTATATTTATGTATCAGAAGAGTGAACTTAAAAAACTGTGGTAATATAAAGCAGCAAAAATTAACCAATAAATTTTTGTCAATGTTCTTTGTTTAAGTACAAACCTCATTGCGAATATTTTGATGCCTGTCAAGGGTGACAACAGATGCAACAACTGTTTACAGTTATTACTACCAAGTTAGTAGTTATTGGAGAATGGTTTACCTAAGTGCTCACCCACCCACCACATTTTCCATCAATAATTTTAGCATGTCAGAAACAAGATATTTTTTGTTGAGATATCAAGCAATGAGAATGAGATGTGAAGGCATACATTTCCCAAGGCTATCCATGCAAAGTGAACATAAACAGCTTTTGAATTTGAAGTCAATTCACTGATTCCTGTCATTAACGTTTACACTATCTGACACCTTCACTCAAATTTCATATACATTTACATAAAGAGTAATATGAATCTACATACGTATATCAATTACTAAATTTCTATAGTTCTTTTCTAAAAAGAATAAAGCTTAACAGAAGAATATAAAGATATAAAGAACCTGAGAATATGTACTGAGGTTTTGTTTTTTTTCCCTGTTTGATTGACATCTTTACAAGAGCTTCAAATTTCATTATTATGACAATAATGATGATTCCTTTCACTTTAACCAAATATCAGATTTATAATACATTTATATAAATATCTCCAAAATTATTTAGAATTTTTAAAAAGACAAAACTTTAAATTTTAATCAAAGCTGGAGAAATTTATTTTCACTGAATTAGCAATTTTTTATGTTTTAAATAATTGTTTTAAATAAATCATAATTCTTGTTTTTAATGAGTCAAAAATCATCTAGTGATAAATGATTCAGTGCAAATGGTTTGTCATGAAGTAATAGTAACTTACAACTGAGGAGCAAATTTCAACTTTAATGGGTGACCCATATTTGTGACCAATTCCAAAAACTAAGTAAATAACTATATACTGGGCATGTGATGTAATATCCAGTTTGGCTGATATTATTCCAGCTTCAGGTGTCTGTCCCATGTCTTGCGAGAAATATAAACTATCTCTATTCATTTGTTTTTATGTGTCAGTCCTGAAGCTCAAGGGATGCTGACCCATGAAAACACTTTATTCTACATAACCTAAACCTATGATAAAAACTGAAAATTGTCCTTATTTTGCAGTAAGCCTATGTAATATTGACAAGTCAGCCTTAATACTGGAGTGGAGAAATTTTAATTCCCAAGGCACTTCAACAGTTTCACATCAACAATTATAAGATGAGACTCAAGCAAAACATTGTGTAAGTAAACTGTTATATAGTTTAAAAGGTGTTGGTGCTCAAATCCAACCCATATCTTGATATAACTCTGTTATATCAAGATATGAGGCAACTGTCCACTGGATTTAAACAAAGAAGCTTTCCATGATGTCATGAATCTACACAGATGACTTCATTATTAAGTACTGGGCTTTAGTTTGGATATTTCCTTCCACCACCATCACTCCAGATGTTGGTGACACAATGACATTTTGTGCGTGTGGAAGATTGTCTATATGCAATGGTAGATTTCACATTAAAGAACAGAAACATCCAAAATGACCATTGTCTGCAAGAACAGAAGCTAAGATGTTCTAGCTAAAATCTGATATATAACAACTCTAACCAATTCAATGCCTTTTAGCCTAAGCCTATGTGAGGGAAATGAGTCAATGAGAATCAAGATCATTTAGTGTCATAATTGGACAGGGTTATTTGTAAGTAAAATAATTGATAATAATTTTTCTAGATTAAATTGTGAAAGAAACTTATAATGAAACATTATTAATAGATATGGTGATAAAGACATGCACAGAAAGTGTTATAAATAAGTTAGATTGTATTATGTAAATCAATGTTTTTAAACTATCAGTCAATTCCTACTGCAGTTGGGATCATAGTCATTGTAATCCCCATGAACTTTTCATTAGTTGCATAGTAGTATGTACTTTGCCAGGGCTAAATATGATAATCTTTCTCCTAGACTGGTTACAACACATGGCTGAAGAGACCATGCTGCCCTACTATTTACTATTTATCCCATAGTAAGGGGATTCATGGATTCACACCTTTCTAAAGGGTATTTAAATTGAATGTAACAAGACTTAACTGGACCACATACACAGCTTTCCATTTGAATTTCACATATAATAATGTTTTGTTTTTTTTTACAAAAATTTTACAACTAATTTGGTATCAGAGATTTTAGCGTGCAACTTGAGAGTTGTTCACCAAAGAAGTAATATATACATAGAAAACAAATTTCAATTTTGCATCTCTCATTTGTGTGCATCTGTAGTTACAACAATGTAAATAAATCCAATCCAATGAAGTCCTAACATATGAAGTGCATCACAAAAAATGTTTTCCAATTTGTCATACATCTTTTCTTTCAAAACTGTTCTTGATAAATAAAAATTTATATATTGTTATCCCACATATACTTATGTATATATACATATTGATATTTATCTTTTTAATTTTACTTCTATGAAGATTTCCATGGGTTATAAGAGATATATCTTCAAAAGGTGTTGTAAAGTTATTAAGTGATAGCAACATAATGTTGAAAATTGTGAAAAAAGATTTCATAGAACAATCAAAAAAGAAATTGAAAATATTGACAAGATAAGAACAAGAAAAAATAGTCTTAAGAATGTTACAAAAAGAGAGTTAATAAAAAATAAAATGGTCATAAGCAATAAAAATGAAGTGACCAGTAAGAAAATATTTGAGGAAGCTGGTGTTGTGAATATAAACAAATAGAGAAAATGCAGACTATTAAGAACTAAAGACATAAAAGCAACCAAACTACCACCTTTAAGTAAACATCATAAATAAAAAAGTTCAATTGGGCAAAGAAGTACTGAAGTTAAATCACAATCCACAGGGTGTCACAGCAAAACTTCTGCACACTCTGATCCCAACAAACGCTTCGTACTCTACGAGTTTGCTCCCCATCTTACTGTGTGAGCCACTATTTATTAATTTTCCCAATCATGCAGGCACATAACTAATAATATTAAAAAGAGTATTATCATGCATGCATAGTAGGAGGATTACAAATGGCCACTCCTCACAACCATGCATGACATCATCACTCCCTTGTGACGTCAACCATGTTGGATTTACACGACAAACAAGTACATGCCCGCTTTGCCCATCGAGGTAAGTGTATTCTCTCACTACACTCCTCCCTGATATCACTATCACATAAATGCTGGGGCAACAGTGACCACCTTCACCAAGTGCTTCTTCATAGGGAGAGAGGGCTCTTCTACTGCATTTCTCCATGCCTATAGTATCTCCATGATGGTCATGATGTCCACATGTTGTTTTCTCCACACCCAACAGTGATTCACGCTAATTATTGACTGGGAACATCCCATGTCAATGAGTGCTGAACACTGCACACCCTCTACCTGGACACCAGTTACAGGCAATGCTGCCGATGATACCTTGCTCCCAGATACGTTTTCTCAAACAGTTGTGCAATATATGGGTAGATACGTGCTCCCCTTACCACTTAGACACTTCCTAGAAAAATAGTTGGGATCATCACATTTATAGCATATAGGGACTTCACATTTGTTGCCAACGAGGGGAAGATTCACACCCACTTCCATTGTGTCAGGATACCATGCGACTTGTGCTTGCTGCTTCTGCAACTGGTTCTGTTTCCTTGAGAATGTTCCAAGATCAGGCCAACAACTGGTCAGTCAGTAATTCGTCAAACTTAGATGACACTCACAAAAGACTACTGACATCCTCTGGTAAACCCGTTAAAAAAGCACATCCCAATATCTGGTCATTCAGGCTGCCACTGAGATTTTGCGTAAATCGGCTAGGTTGATTTCAACTACTCCCCCAGGGCGAAGTCGCCACCCAATGAACTGTTGTCATGCAACAAAGGCATTTGTTCTGAATGCCTTATACAAGGTGCATTTTATCTTGTCTAAATCTGCATCATCTTTGAACTGGTGGTACACCATGTATGCACCTCCAGTTAACCTCAAGGGAGTAATGGTTGCTGGCTCCTTTATTTTACATAATTTGTAAATGCACTCTGTTTTCTCTAGCCATTCAATAACAGATAACATATCAGGAGACCCATCAAATTCAACCGTACATCAAATCTGTCCATTATATATAAATCACCGAAATAGCTTGAAGTTAAATCACAATCCAAAAAGGTGTTGCAGCAAAACTTCTACGCACTCTGATTCAAACAAATACTCCGTACTCTATGAGCTCACTCCCCATCTGACCTGTGCGATCCACTATTTATTATTATTTCCAATTATTCATGCAAATGACCGATAGTATTAAAAAGAGTATTGTCACACATGCAAATGGCCTCTCTTCCCTCTCTCATGATGTCAGCCATGTTGGATTTACAAACAGGTTTTGGGAAAATATTATCGGTGTAAAATTATAGGTTCTTTCATTGTTGATGATGGTATCAAAATAAATGCAGATATTTATTCTTGGATAAGATCTTTTTTCATTGGTAGAGATTATAACAAAGAAAATTTTAATCTAAAGAGTATAATAATTAGAGATAATGCTTCTTCACATTCTCCAAAGCTGACTATTGCTCCTCTTATCAAAAAATATTTGAAAGACAACAAATTAGTGGAATGACTGCCAACTTTTTGAGATGTTAATCCAATAAAAAACTTATGGCCCTTCATTAAAAGAGATGTATATGAGAATGAAAAATAATATTCAATATTCTTGAGCTAAGGAAAGAAATAAAAACTGCAGTGAGTAATGTTGAAGCAGTAAAGTTAATAAAATCACTGGTTGAAAAACTGATGAAGGTTATTAGATGTCAACAAGCCTACACATATCTCAGACACTCTTATGGTATGCCAGTAAGTTTCATCAGTGATGTTTATTCCTGGTGTCATTGAGAGTTTTGGGTCTCTAAAA